TTGGCATTAACATACATAGGTATAAGCTAGGCGTCACATTCTGGGTTGAACAAAAAATAAGTATATTTTAAATACTGTCAACAGATTTGACACTTCATAAGGTGCAGTAGACTAGGAAAGGTTACCATTCTTAGCAGGAGTAGAGGAGAAATAGAGAAACATGCCACCTACCCAATTTGATGATGGAAGATAAAGCTAATCCATGATCTTATGACAAAATCTGTAATGGCTAATTAGGCCTATTACTAATCCTATGCTGCACCAATTTTATTGGAATATTTATATGTCATTATTAGTTACTCCAACAAATATTCAGTTTAAATGCTTAAACTAAGGACTGCATCCTAAAGGAGTTATTGGTGCTTAACTCTACCTCATCCCCAGGGTTTCCACCAGCACTAAACCAGAAACAAGTGGCAAGAGTTAGTGCAGTTAGCCCCAAATACTACACATGGGCAGGTGGATGACAGGCCAGCTTTAAGGGCAGATGTGTCCAACACAACACCCATGATTGTATTGGTACACAATAACCTGTGTTTTGTGCAGTCTGATAAGCAATTATATTCTCCATTTTGTGACCATCTTATTTTTATGTCACTTTTGCTTCTTAAACTTGTTCAACTTGGTCTCAATAACACTAGCCCATATTCCTGGAGTGCCATAAAAAAAATCATTTTTCAGCTGCTAAAAACCATGCATATATATATATATATATATATATATATATATATATATATGTATGTATGTATGTATGTATGTATGTATGTATGTATGTGTATATATATATATATATATATATATATATATATATATATATATATATATATATATATATATATATATATATATATATATATATATATATTCCCAAGCGCTTTCATGTAATTCACATCTTCAGGGTGAGTACAAACTATCAGAATTATATATATATATATATATATATATATATATATATATATATATATATATATATATATATATATATATATACACAGAGGAGGGTGAGATCAGGTCAGAGGGAGAAACTGACCCAACCTTCTCACCTGGTTACAAATCTTCTTAATTACAAAATTGTCCAATTTGTACATACCATTACTCAAATTCATGTTAATGGATTTGGTATGTTTAATGAGACTAGATTCTATAATGTTCCTACTGTCAATTGAATTACAAGGTAATATTGAGGAGGCATTATCCCAGTCAATGCAATGTTTATTATCCCTCAAATGAACAAACAAAGCATTGGATTCCTGGCCTGTCCTAACACTATATTTGTGTTGTTTAAGTCTAGTTACAAGATCTTTACATGTCTGGCCTGAGTAAAACATATTACATTCCTTGCAGGGGACTTTATAAATGCAGCAGTTTGTACTCACCCCTGAAGATGTGAATTTTTTTTTTGTGTGTGTGAGGGTCTGTTCATCAGAATTTACAAGGTTTTAAGAGTGACACACGTAAAAGAAATTCCAGAAAAAAGTTAATGCTTGTTTGTTATTGATTAGAAATATTTTACAAAGTAATGGTTAAAAATATTTGCTATTATCAAGGTATGATAAATTATATAACTATTTGCCCAGTTATGGAAATTTGTAGTTTGTGTAGATATCAGAATTTAAATATACCGGTAAGAGTTCGCCAAAAAATAGAATGACTTGGTGAATTACCGTATGCAAGTCTGTCTAGATTCTCAAAAGTTTGCACATAAAAGTTTTGTCCACAAACTAAAAATAAATATACTTGATCTCGGTGAACTTTTGAGGACATTTCGACTGCTAACTGAGCACTAGCAAATGTGTGTCACTTGGATGCATTCATACATCGGTTAAGGAAAAAAAAAATTTGTACAAACCTCTGAGAATCTTGGCCTTGGATGTGATACTGTGATGCACAGTTGCACCTGTTCAATACTGCCAAAGATGTTCTGTGAAAGCAATTACTCTAGAAGTGTTTCCTTAATACATGGTAATTTTAAGGATAAATATGCTTGGATAAGTTTTTTGTTATATTATTAATGCAAATATTAAAGAAGTGTTGTAACCATTGATCACTATGACATGCATCATCATCCTGTAAATCTTTTTACTGGTACAGTAATTGAAATGGTATTAACCAAATACGTTAAAATGAAATAATGTGGCCTTAATAAACAGAAAATTATTGATGCAAGCCATACTTTATAAAGTCTTGAGTGAGTAGGAGTATGAAAGATTTTGACCTCCAAATATTAATACTTTAATACAATCTAGATTTGCCTGTCCATTTTGCTGTAATATGCAAACCAAAGATTAAACATTAACACCCAAAAAAACATCCATTAGTAATATAGCTAATTAGAGGCAAAACTTGTCAATTTAAAACATTTAACTTTTATTTTCAATGGTGGAATTAATGTCAAGAGGTTAATCGGCAATTTTGTCTTCGTTATATCATTTTCATGTCGTAAAAAGGGACCTAATTTATCTTTCTTGCGGTATAATTAAAAAAAATATAGCTATGATATACTGGAACATGGGTACTCTATGAGCACTTTTACCATTAAAAACATTTTTTAGTTACAAAACTGGTACCATTCAACAAACACAGAAGCTGAAATCTTGACAAAATATCATCCCAGCTGTGATAAACAAAAATTAATGTAATGTAGTAGTTAAACAAATTGGTTTTTCTTTCTAAACTAATTATATAATAAACTGTGTATGATATATCAATAATTTTTTTTAAATGATATATATATATATATATATATATATATATATATATATATATATATATATATATATATATATATATATATATATATATATATATATATATATATATATATATATATATATATATATATATATATATATATATATATATATATATATATATATATATATATATATATATATATATATATATATATATATATATATACACACATGTTTTGCTACCCCGGGTGAACAACAGAACATATGGGATTAATTCAAGAGATGGCCCGACCCCCAAACTACTTTTTGACGACACACAACTATGTTGTAGTAAAAATATTATCTTAACTTTATGATGGTATGCACACACATTAATAATTAAGAGAAATATCAATAATATTAGGTTTTTTAACACTTACATTAGTAGAAAAGATGGCTGGGCACACGGGGATGGGGGGTTGGTTCCGAGGCAGAGGGCAGATTATTGGCCCTCACCTGTATCACTTGTATCAATTGTATCACTATCCACCAGAGAGGCTTGCAGGGCCTCTTTGTCAAACCCCTCAAAGTCCATATAAGTCCATATCCTCACTAAAATTATCACTATCACTGACTTGGGCCGGCTGTGGTGGGTAGCGGGTGAAGAACTCGGTAATGTTTTCATGACTGGGCGACCTTGTGCGCATCGTGCCCGCGCCGCTTCCCGCGTAAATGAACCGCGTTAAGTGAAACCTCGTAAAGCGGGGTAATACTGTGTGTGTGTGTATGTATATGTATATGTATATGTATATGTATATGTATATGTATATGTATATGTATATGTATATGTATATGTATATATATATATATATATATATATATATATATATATATATATATATATATATATATATATATATATATATGCAAGTAAATCACTGTAGGTGCGCGTGATCTAGGTATATGCTGATAACCACAAGGAAAGAAGAAAACACGAAGTTCCCAAGCGCTTTCGTGTAATTCACATCTTCAGGGGTGAGTACAGACTAGAGAGAGAAATACAAACCAAGGTGTATATATACAGAGGAGGGTGAGACCAGGTCCACAATGGTCAGGTATTAGGTAATGACCCTACTAATCTTTAAATAGCACACAACGGTTGGTGGTCAGGTCAGATGGTCAGGTGACCCGGCCTTCTCACCTGGTTACAAATCTTCTTAATTACAAAATTGTCCAGCTTGTACATGCCGTTACTCAAATTCATGTTGAATGCTTCTGTATGTTTAATAAGACTAGATTCTATGATGTTCCTACTATCAATTGAATTACATGGTAATATTGAGGAGTAATATTGAGGAGGCATTATCCCAGTCAATGCAATGCTTGTTATCCCTCAAATGAACAAACAGAGCATTGGATTCCTGGCCTGTCCTAACACTGTATTTGTGTTGTTTAATTCTAGTTGCAAGATCTTTTCCTGTCTGGCCTAAGTAAAACATATTACATTCCTTGCAAGGAACTTTATAAATGCAACCAATTGTATTACTTCTTTTTTTTTTGTTAATATAAGCATTAATTTCCATATGTAGAGGTAACCATAATAATCTCAGGTTTATTTTTTAAATACAGTACAGTATTATGATTTCCAGTCCCTAGGAGTAAATTCTGAGGGCTTGGCACATTATTTATTAATGTGTAAAAAAAAAAAAGTTAGTACAGTAATTCCATATAATGTACTGCATAAAGAGACTAAATTCAAGAATATAATAAAATTATATCGCTGAAACTAGACAATTGACTTGGTGTTGCTTACTTTATGTAAGTTGTAATATGAGGTTTTATAGTGTTAAAAAATGTTTGTGGATGTTATTACAGGGTTATTGTTAGGAATAGCTTGCTGGTCAAATTGATAGGTCCAACTGACATTTGGGTGGGATCAGATTATCTTATATAGAAATTAATAACTTGACCTCAGTTCATTTCTAAACACAGTTGTATCCATCACACAGAATGTCTGTAGTTTGTCGTGTTCAGTGATTTACAGTATGTCTGCCACAGAGTTCTTGATCCCCCAACTGCTCTACCTAAATATCTAGTGAAAGTCATGCTATTAAATAGAAACAAATATACAGTTGTTTGTGATATAGAATCAGAACAGTATACAAGATTCACGTCTAGATAATTATATGTGTAGGCTTTTGGCTTCAACTCGAGAGATACATTACCATCCATCCTGGAGACCCCTCAGTGGTAAGACTGCATATTATATACACAAACTTTTCAGCCAATATCTTCAGGTAAAGCTAATAAGCAAACCACCAGTAGTGCCTATGTTAATCTATATTACCATAAAAGTGGTCTCACCAAGTAAGGAACATAACAGAAAGGAACTGCACATGGTAAATTTGTCAAAATTTGATAATATTCATGAATACTGTTTGAGGTTAAACAGTCACTGTTCAGTATTACTTATTACTGAACTTAGAATGTCAGCAAAAAGCTCCCAGGTAAATACTCAAAAGCTAACTAATTTTATCAGTGTGAGGAATTAACCTTAATTTAGTATAATACTGTATTACCGTCAGTGGTTCGATTTCCGGGCATTCCCAATTCGCCCAGCTGTAAATGGGTACCCACGTTTACAACTTGGGGAAGTGAATGTGGTCGAGTGCAGTACTGCCCATGTTCCCTCCTTCTGTATTGAAGGCTGAGTATACAGTGTGCTGTATCCACACTGTCCCTAATGGGCAGTCATCCCTATGGGACCCACTCACTTTCACATTGATATTAAAAGTGTCTCAATCTCTGTGATCAGTAATAACTAGATCACAAATGATAAAAGGGTGCTGCTTGATATCAATGACCCACAAATGACTGGAATCATCATGTGGGAATTTACATCTTTTGGATTAATGTTTCATACTACCTGTACTTAATAACAAATGTAATTCACTTTCAAGACACCTTTTCTTCTTTACATATTGTCATAAAAAAATATAAGGTAATTAAGGTACATTATAATGTTTGCCTATACTGTACAGTAATTTCTGTACCTTTCGTTGATTAACTTTTTGTGAATATACTATAGCTTTCATAAGTCATATGTAAATGCTGCTTTATTTTTGGCTTTTCACATCTCCTCATACCTTCTGTGGTCACTTCTCAAGGCTAGTGACAAAAATTAATAATAATAAATACTTGATGTGTTCTGTAAAAACAGTTTAAAAATAATACCTTATAACCACTATAAAGAAAAAAAAATTGAATACAGCCTAAATCCTCTTTTCTCAGGCTGTGTCCAAAGATGTGATGCTTAATGGACAGGTGCTTTTGTGCTTAATTTTATTAAGTTGGGTTTTTCTCGCTTGTGTTTAGAATTTAAAATTTACCATAAATTAGTATATATATTTTATTTATTGCAGGAGTCCATTCACTAAAGCAGCTTCAAGTGATGAAATAAAAATTACATAGGTACTGAAGGTGTAAACCTCATGACACATACAAATGTACTGCACCCTTGTTAATCTCTTGACTGCATTTGTGAGTGCCCTGTAATTTTTATCTTCAGTTGTGGCAATGCTGGCTCCTGGAGAAAAAGCAATGGCCAGCAACCTCCAATTCCATCCTTAGTAAGTCGAGGGAGAAAAAAGCAACCACCTTAAAATATGATACAGTACTGTATTTAAATTTCAAAACAGGCTCAAAGTTGGAGGAGCAGTGTTGTCGAGTGTCACATTTATACTTGCTCTCTAAGTACTTGTCAGTTCTTTATAATGTACTGTACTAATAGGTGTGCTACTGTTACTTCTGGGTGATCTTGTGGCAACCTTTTTTTTATTGGTACTGTATTAGCATTAATACCTTTCTGACTAAGCCTTTTCACGAGGTTTTGTTACATAACTTTGCAGAAGGTACAGGAAGTATTGTACAGTATAAGAAATCACAGAAAACCCATAATGCCTCATAGCTAGTCCTGGGTAAGACTTTATTATTGATATTTAATGTGAATTACACAAATTGAAGTGTTAAGTTTGCCATGTACAGTCTCGTTCAAGATTTTTCGAACACTGCTGGAGACAGCTGGCAACTCGAGGCCATTTGTTTACTATAGTACCAACTATAATATATTACGAAACCACAAAACCCAACCATTAATAAAGCAATAGGGAGCTAGGTAACCAATCACCGAAAACCTTTTACATTCTTTCATAATTTTTACTACGTACTATAGTAATCAAACGGCCTTGAATTGCTAGCTGTCTCCAGCAGTGTTCAAAGAATCTTGAACTAGACTGTACAATTGCCCTAGGAAGTGATGTCACTTTTTCATTATGAGCCATTCAAACAGCGATATCTGGCAACTTGACAGGAGCTATGTGTGTGAGTGGATGCCTTTGTAATAAGATTATAGTATAATTACTGAACTCCCGAATCAATATCACAATACCTACCGGTAACTCTTTTTGAGGCATTCGCTCATATTTTTGCATGTAAAAGACTTCAAGATTGGTAGCAATGATAAAAAAAGCTACAGTTAACCCTCACTTTATGTGGTCCCACATTCCGCTTTTCCACGTTTACGCGGTACCCTGCCGGAACCCGGGATGCTCACATTCCGCGGTGCATGTACCCCTTTACGCGGAGAGCGGCTGGCGAGCCGCCCCATTTTTGGATCCAAACCTCCCGCCATCCGCCATGTTGTGTAAGCGGCGCAAGCAGGGTGCGCACAAGGTCGCCCAGTCATCAAAACATTACCGAGTTCTTCACCCGCCACCCACCACAGCTGGCCCAAGTCAGTGATAGTGATAATTATAGTGAGGATATGGACTTATATGGACTTTGAGGGGTTTGACAAAGAGGCCCTGCAAGCCTCTGTGGTGGATAGTGATAAATTGATACAACTGATACAGGTGAGGGCCAATAATCTGCCCTCTGCCTCGGAACCAACCCCCCATCCCCGTGTGCCCAGCCATTTTTTCTACTAATGTAAGTGTTAAAAAACCTAATATTATTGATATTTCTCTTAATTATTAATTGTGTGTGCATACCATCATAAAATTAAGAAGTTATTTTTACTACAACATAGTTGAGTCGTCAAAAAGTGGAGTTTGGGGGTCGGCCCGGTCTCTATTTCAATTAATCCCATATGTTATGTTGTTCACTTTACGCGTTTCTCACTTTCCGCGGTACCCTGTGGGTTGTATTAACCGCGTAAAGTGAGGGTTGACTGTATATCCTAATCCTAGGCTTGAAAGAGGAGAAAGATGCATGCAAGAAAAAACCCCGAGATAATACAGCATGTGGCTTGTTTCCTTGTTGAGAAGTTTTTATTTTTAAGCAGTCATAGAAGCTATCAATTTGGTCAAGTTTTACTTTTCTTTCTCGATAACGAATGACTGTTGAACAGGAATCTTTAATGTTTTATATTTTATTCATGGGTTCTAAATAATACCATACCTTCAGAGTATAAATGACAAATAATTTTCTTATGAATTTTGTTTTGTGAATGTTTCCCGCCTTAGGTCATCCACTCATCAAAGCGGTGAATATGGAAAGTATTTGTTTAAATATTCAATAAAGACATGGCATAAATGTGGTGAGTATATTATTTCAATATATATTTTTTATTCTAAACTCATTTCAGTTTCATACAAATAATGTATGTATACCTTTTCAATTTGATAGTTTAATTCTAATGATGTAAATTATTCCAGAGTGTCTCGGCAATAATTTGGTGTCATATTTTGTTTAAAAATTCAGTCGCCCCTTGCTAACCTTGGGGGTTAGGTTCCTGGAAAACCCTGTGGTTGGTAAGACTGGAGGCTTATGGGAAATAGGGGGTTAGGTTCCACAGCCAGCAACATCACTTGCCAATGCCTAACTATGTTGCCTGTTCCTTCACAAAACAATACCTGCATTGTACATTTCATTAAATTTGAGTCCAATACATAAAAATTGTGCAATATAAATTAAAGTCATGTAAATTTAACAGTATAATGGGTATTTACCTTCATTGAGGACGATGGTGGATGAGGATGATGTGAGGGAGAGGTGGTGGTTATAAGGAAGAGGGGACGTAGGTCTGCTCCTCTTCAGGTTTGTCGCTGTCTGATGAGGTGGGTGATGCAGGGACATCTTGGATGTTGGGGACTTGAGTGTAGCTACTGGTGGAAGGTTGTGGCTGGAGTGTAGCAGCTGGTAGAGGGTTGTGGTTCAGTGATTGAGGCAGCTATAGCAGCGGTGGTCTTGCTAAAAAAGCTGATGATAGATAGCAGCTGGTTTTTTTGTTTTTTTTTATAATCCCTGTACACCTCGTAGGGCTTCATTGCAGCCCTCTGGATACATCTTACATTTTTCATACTGTATACAGTACCTGCAGCTGTGTAACAAATTTGGTGCATAATCTGAAGTACAGTACAAGGAAAAACATATTCACAGATGTATAATCTGCCATTATTTTGATGACTCGCACTGATGTAAAAAGGAATATAATGATTACAATATCTGGAAATCTAACATTAAAGGTTGTGCCTTATTGTGATTAATAATTTATTTTGAAGTTTGTTCCATACTTGGTGATAAAGAATATCTGATATGAATATATTTACAAATATTACTTGATATTTTTTAAAATAGCTTATTGTTTAAATAAAATACTATTGTGTTATTGGTGAGGACTTACAAATTTAGGTTCTTATTAATATATCCTGCGATGATTATAAAGTGTCTAGAAAAGTTATATAATGCATTAAGTAAATTTCAGTGTTTATTGTCCATAAATATATTGTATATAGTGAATGCATTGTATCATTTTCCAACAAAGTTATGCAACACTTATTAGTGTATTTTCACTACAGAAATGTTTGTAATTTATAGGGTTTGAAAGATTCTCCAACTAGAACTAGTCTGTCTTGTTTAGGGAGCTATTTACATACAGTTGACAGGTACCCTGTAATATGAAAACCGTGTACATTGTTGTGGAGCAGTTTCTTCTCCATTCAAACTAGGTTAATAAAGCTTGCTCTAAGATTATCTCAGTGATGGCTTTGAAAGCCACTGAAGTCAGTTCACTCTTGCCTTATACATTTTGCCTTGCCTGGCCTATTAACAGCAGTTGGTGCCTCTATCTCTTCTGTCTTTCTTTGGAGAAGTGTCATATTCACAAATTTTTTCCATATGTTGGCATTACAGGCATACAGTCCATTTCCATACAAGTGATTTATTCTTGTAGCATGATGTTGGTATCTTTCACTAACTTCCAGGTTTTTGCCACCATGCTGCAACACAAGTCTGTAGGTTCAAATCTTTAGAAGCAAAGATTACCTTATTCTTACAGAGGAACGTTTTCTGTTTATATTGCAGAATAAGGAAAAGCACACCACTCAAACTATTTTGTTTTTCAGCTGATGTAGGTACATGTATTAGGTATTAAGAGTAGTAGGTATTAGGCAGCTACCAAACAGGGAGGTACTACCGCCTGGGAAGATATTGGAAGCATAATGTGTTGTCTATGGTAGATCCTGCTGCCACATGGCATCATGAAAATTGTGACCAAGTCCCAGGTTGCTGATCTGACTTTCTGCCTCATTTACACATAATTGCAGGATCTCAATTGTTTCTCTTACTATTGACAACACAACATACATATATTGTTCCTCACTTTTGATTTTTTTTCATTTTGTATTTCTTTGTGGTTCTTTATTATTATTATTATTACAGGTATTATTATTATAATTATTATTACATTTTCGCCCCCCAGGCCCCGATGTGGGTCAATGACCTGTGCCTGGGTGGGCTAATTCCCATAAAAAAAAAAAAAAGTTCCAATTCTCTAGGATCCATTGTTCTTGGCTCTTCTTATTGAGTTTGTTTCCACTACATAACAATATACTTCAGGTACTTTTTCCTGTAGACATATTTACTTGACATGAAAGATCCCTTAGTCCACAGACTGATCAGCTTTTCTTTATTACAGGCAGTCCCCAATTTACAAAGGATAGATCTACAAAAATTCAAAGTGAAAAATAAAATAAGTCGTCATGTGATTTGATTTACGAATGAAAATCTAAAGTTACAAATCTTCATTTGCTATTTTTTAATGTACTGTATGTTTACATAGTGCATTTTTTTTTTACTTCAGGTGTACCAGATTACTTATTTCATTATCCTCAAACTCAATTAGGTCTAAAAATGTGTCCTCATTCTCCTACAATTATTGTACAGTGGTCCCTTGGTTAACGAACACAATTCGTTCCAGAAGGTCGTTCGTTAAACGAAAATTTTGTTAACCGAAACCATTGTTTCATTGAGATTTTGGGTAATTGGTTCCAGCTCACCAAAAATTACATACAAAGTAAAAAAAATGCAGTAAACTACACTTACTTTGAGGTGTGTATGTAGAAGGCTCCTGGTTGATGATGATGATGGGAATTAGAAGTGGGGGTGGAGGAGAAGGGAGAAGAGAAGGAAGTGAGGGTGGAAGAGAAATCACCCCATGCTTCATGCCGTCATTTCACCCATAAAATTTTAAGTTCACTAGGTGTAATTCAAGATTATTTTCTTTAAATCAACACTGCACTGCACTATATATTGTCAATATGTTAAATAAATTTCAGAATGACCAATAATTGTATTGTAAAAACGTAAAAATAGTTTATGTTCAAGAGAGCCACAAGCAAGATGTTACTTCCACTGACCAGAGATACAAACTAACGCCTTGGTGGGTGAATCAAGTGGCTGATTGGCACACCAAAAACTAGTTTCCTGTACTCCAATTATGTTAAATAAGTGTTAAAATGACTAAAAAATTTAATATAAAACTTGGAAAATTATTGAATAGTACAACCTTCTTGATATTTACTCAATTGGGAACGAATTTAAGCCCGAGAACCGATTACTGTATTGGCAGACTAATATTCCAGCTGGTGAGCAAGCAAAAACATGTTAACATGATTTCATAAGAATTTTGTTAACAGAATTTTTGTTGGTTAACCGAATTAAAGATTCTTATGGAAGGTAATTTAACCGAAATTTCGTAAACCGAGGCATTCGTTAACTGAAGGATCACTGTATAACTTACTCCTCAAACTCACTGGAGACAAGTATACTCATCTCTTTCAGCAGTCACTTAGCCAGTTGCCTGATTGTTCAATTTCTTTTTATTTACTCATATAATAAGTGGCAAATTAAAAAATAAAATTGAATTCTCAGATTTCATTTGCTATTATATAATTATACACAATAAAGGTGTCGAGGTGTAAGAGAAAGGATGGAATTTGGAAGTGAACAAAAGTTTGGATTAGTGGATATTTGGCAGAAATGCACAAGCGTGTGATTGTAGTGTCAGCTGACTGATGTCAGCGTTCATACCATGTAAGGAAAGCAGCGAGAATTTAGTATGATACTTTTTGAAAAAGAGAACATACTGTACCTCCAATTATAAAATGGGAATCTGTGCACTATATTAATATAATCTATATTTACTATACAGTATACAGATGCTGGATTAGCATATCATATACTGTTCACTGTTTCAAATGTTATCCAGTTTCTCGTAAGTACAGGTATAAAGCTATTACTGTACTGCGAGTATTTCACTTAATATATTTATTACTGTATTGACTTATGATTGTGTACACCAAAATTTTTAATTAAAAACATGATTTTTAGCATTTTAAGACATTTTGCATTTTTCCATAGGAACGTATCTAAGATTTTATCATGGGAGTCTTTGGGAAAATATGCTTTGATTTATGAAAGTTTTTTCAGGAATGGAATTGTTTCATAAATCTGGGAATGTCTGTAGTTAAACTCTCTACCTCAGTATATTTCCTATACCATACACCTCAATCAGTTCAAATCATCTTGCAACAAATATCTTCCGTCTTTGGCAAGGGGACACCTTGGCGAATAGTTGATAACACTACTTGTCTGATCTCTTACTATGTTTTGCCTTTGTTTAAAAAATACAAGATATTCGTTGAAAAGCTCATCCTGATAGGCATGATCAACTATTCAAACTAACATATAAAAGGGTTAAACAATGCTATAAATTCCATTTTCATATTCTGAGTGATAAAATCTAATGATGCTCTACATCAGTTTTTTTATATTTTGTGAAATAAGAAATGGTACTCTTTCTGACATTTAACATTACAGAATAAAAATAATATTAATAGAAATGGTCTTCCTTGAAATTCTGTTATACTTATCTGGCTGTTATACCAAACTTCTTACTCCAGTCTTCATAGATCTGAAGGTCTTTGTCTGAAACACTTGCTTTGATAGTATGCAAGGCACTCGTAAAGTCATCATAGGAGATTGGACGAACCTGTTGAATAATTCAGTGTGAAAGTAAAGCATACACTATATACGTACCATACTATATTTCAAACTACATACCATACTAAACATAGGGTGGGAACAGAAATATAAGAAAATCAATTGTGTAAATACATATACAGTGAGTTCTGCTATAACGAGTGTTTTGACAACGTGAATTGGCTCTAATGCGATTTGTGAATAGAAGAACGGTATTTGTAAAACGCGAACGCTTGTTTGCTGTAACTCGATTTTTGCTTACTATTTCTCCAATTTTGTGGTATTAACTGTGAACATGGAAAAGAAGAATATCTCCAAGAAGCGTTCTGGTGATCGCATTCCCGGTGATGATCGTAAAAGAAAGGCTATAACACTTGAAGAGAAGCTCGATGTTATCAACCTCAAAATCGCCCTTCTCCCCCATCAAGTTATATTCATATTTTTTCAAGGTAAAGTGTTACATTTACTATATGATTTCATTATTAGATATGAATGTAGCATAAATTTAGACTGTGCTATCCTTTGTTAGGCTAACTACTAAATTTTTTCCGATTTCGAGTAATCTGCACCTAACCCTATTTTCTCCATAAGCCCTGTTATTTCTATTGCGCGAATATCTATAACACGATGTTTTACAAGAACACAACTATCGCGTTATAGCAGAACTGACTGTATGATTCTTAACCCCTTATGTATGGGGTTCCCTCTGAGCTGCATAAAATAATCTGGCATCAGAAAAAAAAGTAGCACACCTGTAATGAAGGAGTTAACAGAATTAGGACTTCCACATTCCTTAAATACTGTACTTCATAACTAGCTATTCACTGGACACATAAATATATATGAGAATTTGTAATGCACACAGGTACAGTTGGGGAATGTTCCACCTAAGACTACTGGCCACAAGTTTGAACCTCTGAATGTGAGACCTGTAGTAGCCAGACACTCGCCTATCTGGTGAGGCAATCAATGTGCATAGGAGGTATAATCATACCAGATTGGTAAGTGTTTGACTAGTGCTTTGCTACCATAGGTCTCGCATTCAAAGTTTCAAACTTGTGGCCAGGTTTCTTATGTGGATCATTCCCTGACTGTACCTTGGTGGTCCAGGTTTAAATCCAGGTAAGCACAGGGACTCAAAGATGGTTTGTCTTCACTCTTCATTTATTTTCTTACAAAGTTTACCTAAAACAAGCCCAGCCCTTAAAAATTCGTCTGGCATACTGTAATGCCGTACACTTGCTACAAAAAGTCCCTGCAAGGTGGCGTCCAATTGATGTAAAAATGAACACTGCAAATCCTGTTGTCTTGGTAGGGTTGTCAAAATCTTTCATCTGTTGTCATTATTGTCTTGCAAAAAATTTGCAGATACTTTTTGCTAGGTACAGGTAGTTCTGCTATAACGCGATAATTGTGTTCTTGTAAAATATCGTGTTATAGAAAATCGCGTAATAGAAATAACAGGGCTTATGGAGAAAATAGGGTTAGGTGCAGATTACTCGAAATCGAAAAAATTTAGTATTTAGCCTAACACAAAGGATAGCACAGTCTAAATAAATGTTACATTCATATCTAATAATGAAATCATACAGTAAATTTAACACTTTACCTTGAAAAAATATGAATGTAACTTGATGGGGGAGAAGGGTGATTTTGAGGTTGATAACATTGAGCTTCTCTTAAAGTGTTATATCCTTTCTTTTACGATAATCACCGGGAATTCTATCATCAGAGCGCCTTTTGGAGATATTCTTCTTTACCATATTCACAGTTAATACCACAAAATTGGAGAAATAGTAAGCAAAAATCGCGTTATAGCAAACAAGCGTTCGCGTTATACAAATATTGTTCCGAATTCATAAATCGCGTTAGAGCAAATTCGCGTTATCAAAACACGCGTTATAGCAGAACTCCCTGATAATATGACACAAAGGATGAAGGACTTTGACAACCTTACCGAGACAACAGGAGTCGCAGTATTCATTTTGACATCCATTGGCCCCACGTTGCAGATAGTTCCTGTAGTGAGTGTAAGGCTAAGCCATTTTGTTGCAGAATAAAAACCACAACCATTGCCATCTACCTTTTTCTTTCTTTCCCAAAATGTACTAATTTTGTCTAATTCATGTTTTGTCATTTTAAAGTCTTAACTTGTATACAGGTGTATGCAAAAAATTAACTTACAAAACCTTTTTCTTTCCCTCTCTACTGTAGGTTCAGAATTTTATCTTATTCCTGTTACTGTATTACAAGAGAAAATACCTTTCCTTATCAATCAAACCCCTTTTTATTTAATTTTTTTGTCAACAGAGTGACCCAAAATTTGTCAAGTCAATTAAAACAGTTTTTTTTTTTTTCTAAAACACCATGTACAGTCTCGTCCAGCTGGAGATAGCTGGCAACTCATGGCCATTTGTTTACTATAGTACGTAGTATAATATAATACGAAACAACAAAGCCCAACCATTAAATTAAGCAACGGGGGAACTAAGTAACCAATCACCGATCACTTTTACATTTATTCTTAATTTTTACTACATACTATAGTAAACAAAAAGCCTTGAGTTGCCAGCTGTCTCGAGCAGTGTTTGAAGAATCTTGAATGACACTGTACCTATAGCACCCCTGATATACAAATGGGCACCCAATTTCTTTTCATATAGGGCTACATTGTAATTATTGATCCATATCAAGGGCTGGTGTGCAAATTTTAGAGAAATCTTTGCTTCACAGGAATATATTTTATTGAAATAAAATATAGCATTACTGTACAAACAAAGACAAAAGTCGTGTCGCAGTTCTGTCCGAAGATTAAATATAACTCGTGAAACATTATGAGAGCCCCCTACCACAAGGTAGAACGCACCAAAAGTTTAGCTCTTCGGCATATGTTTTCACCAAATTTCATGACACGACTTTTGTCTTTCATTGTATACATATTAATATATGCAAATTTCAGTAGAATATGGCATCATATTGCAGCATGAGAAGGCTCTCTTTTAAATTTGTAATACTGTACAGTACTGTACAGAACTTAGAATTTGTACAGGTGAGTGAACCCTCACTTTACGCGGTTAATTCAACCCACGGCGGCCCGCGTAAAGTGAACTACATAACATATGGGATTAATTGAAATAGAGACCAGGCCGACCCCCAAACTCCACTTTTTCAGACACAATACCTACGTTGTAGTAAAAATAACTTCTTAACTTCATGATGGTATGCACACACAATTAATAATTAAGAGAAATATCAATAATATTAGGTTTTTTAACACTTACATTAGTAGAAAAGATGGCTGGGCACACGGGGATGGGGGGTTGGTTCCGAGGCAGAGGGCAGATTATTGGCCCTCACCTGTATCAGTTGTATCAATTTATCACTATCCACCACAGAGGCTTGCAGGGCCTCTTTGTCAAACCCCTCAAAGTCCATATAAGTCCATATGCTCACTATCATTGTCACTATCGCTGACTTGGGCCGGCTGTGGTGGGTGACGGGTGAAGAACTCGGTAATGTTTTGATGACTGGGCGACCTTGTGCGCACCTTGCTCGCGCCGCTTACACAACATGGCGGATGGCGGGAGAGATGGCGCGGCTCGCCAGCCGCTCTCCGCGTAAAGGGGTACACGCACCGCGGAATGTGAGCATTCCGGTTTCGACAGGGTACTGCGTAAACGTGGAAACGCGTAATGTGGGACCGCGTAAAGCAGGGTTGATTGTATACAAATGATCGCTTACCTGAAAAATTATTCTTACAACTCTTTCTTACTATCCGATAGCGCGATTCATTTATATGAAAAATTGTCCAATCAAAAATACAAATTGCACTTGCCTGGAATTCAGCTGGGATGGCATAACATCACTCCCCTCCCTCCCACATTCCCCTCAGTTTGCATTGTCTCGTGGCCATTCACTTGATGTTATGTTGAAGTGCAGTGTTCTCTCTTTATCCATGTGTTTTTGTGAACCTGTATGTACAGTAATGGTATCCAAGTGATGCACTGATTCTTTGGCTACCATCACCAAGAGACTGCATAAGCATGTGGTAATTGAAAACAAATTTGAAATAATCAAGCATCATGAACGTAGGAAGGCCCAAGCAAGATTGGAAGACCTGCCTCACATAAGGTAATGTACCAACTGTATTTACTGCACATTATGTATTTTATTTCATTTCTAATTTTTTTCTAGATACGTATAATGTTTTTGGTTTTTTAACAGAATTATATTTTTTTAGATATTATAATTAGGTTTTTTGTTGTTCATGAATAGATTTCAATTTCTTTCAGTATAGTATTGGATTCTTTTTTCAATTCAGAACTGAACTCTTATTTTTTGCATTTAATATGTTACCAGTATTCGCTATCAGAAAATTTTATACCAATATATACAAATACAGCACTAGGTGTTACCAAGAAGCACCTTTCTCTTATGAATTCTGCTACGCACTGACAGAGATCAAGTACGTATTGGGTCGTGGCCCGAATAAATGTGATTACGGAACAGGCCTATTTTGTGAAAATTTTTCCAATTACTGGAACTTACCAGCTGAGTCTACTAATTCATACCGGGCAAAGACATCCCTTATTGGGAATATGCCTTACTGAGAGGGTTTATTGTAATTGGATGTTGAAATATGAAACTTTGGCTCAGTCACCCAGCATGAATGAAGATTACACTTCATTTCAGTTTGGTTACTGTATCTCATGATGAATACAGTGCATGTAAGTAAGGTGAATGGAAGAAAATTCAGGGAAGACCAAAAAGAAATGAAGAGTTGATAGAGCTTACAGCTGGGAGGGGAATTATTGTGAAGTGCAGTGCTGTATATCCAGTTGTGTATGGAGGTAAATATTGCTTAACATAAGAACCAACAGCCTATAAATCAACAAATATTTTCCTACCCATCCCTTCCAACTGTGTTTTTATACCGAATAAGGGAAATTAGCCATGCATATAAATAACTAAGGAGATGCCTAACACACTTTGGTAAAGGTAATCTTGGGAAATTCAAGAATCCATACAACACTTACTTGATCAACAGAGATGTGATGCATATCAGCAATATCAATGGACCTAATAGGTCCTAGAGCAGCTTCACGACACAGGTTGGCCATGTCAGCCCCGGAGTATCCATCAGTCATCTGGCAGATGCGATCAATGTCATCTGGTATCAAGCTGTGGCTCTGGCTCTCCATCAAATTTTTTATAATTTGTTGTCGAGCCTAAAAAGAATGGATTGATGTTTGAAATCTTATTCTATGGCTGGGGAGGAATGTAAATAAGACTTCGAAGACAGTCATCAATTCACAAAATGGCACATTTATATAACCATAAAGTCTGTGTGACAACTTGATAACAATGACATAATGGTCTAGGGCACAAAAACAGGTTACGTCAAAGCTCCTCGGCCAATCCGCACGCCCAGATGCTGCCTCCTTGTTAGTTTTGGGGCGTTATATAGTTTAAGGAGGTTCAGTGTACTTTCTATTGCTATTTTTTATAACTTTTCGACGTAACATTGATGTTATTCTTGTTCCACGGGTGTGAGAAGTGCTATGCAATATCTGCCCGATATTAGAGCATGACTCGAGTGAGTCCAGGCCTTCTGGTGTGAGTTCAGCATATTATTCCTGAGCGTGTGTTTAGTGACGACAGTGCTCACGTAGACACCCCAGGAATGCTTGGTGATAGTGATAGTGATTTTGGTATACTCATAATACAAAAAGTGACAGCTATGCATCACAAGACCTGTTTGCAAACTGTGTTCCGGTACAGAGTTACGTGACATGCACTGACGGCAATAATGACGATGAAAGTGAGCCTGACCCAATGAATGCGAGTGAAAGTGAGCCCATAACTCAATCTTATAATGAAACTGAACTGTTGCCGGCATCAATAATCAATGATTTAGTTGATGAAGAATCTGTGTGGCGATTTTTAGAGAGGGCAGAGATAGACTTTGATCAGTCCGTGATTCATTAGGGTGTATGACGAGCCATTAAAGTTATACGCACTCCTCATGATTTACGTAACTTCAAGTTACTACGATCTTCAGGGATAATAAAATGAAGGAACTAAACAAAGTAAGATTGTAATACTGTACTATTATCATAATACTGTTTTTTACCAAAGATTATGCAAACTTTCTCCACCTTTGTATTCGTATGTTAATTATGTTGGGGGGGGGGGATAAGTTAATGGTGGGGGAAATGAGTGTAGTGGTGTTTCCTTAATATTACACACTATTACACTTAACAATATTATAAAACTTTGACTAATAATAGGGACGGAAAGATAAATACTGATAGGCAAATGAGTTTGTTATTATTATTTAATTTTTGGGTGGTCTGAGGGGGTTTATGGGGGGTAGTGTAAGACGAGTGCTGTTTATGGTGATCATTAACTTGTTTTACAGTATTAGCCCACAATAATAAGAGAATTTTGCAGAAAAATTTGATTATTGTTGGTTTGAAGATCAAACAACTGTACATGACGGGTAGTTATTCTCATTCAACTTGCGAAAAAATAATAACTATTTACAGTACTAACTTCCAGTTTTCACAGTTCGCTAGGAGAGGGATTGAACTTCAAAAAACTTTAAACACGTTTTTCTCAGCTTTTTGAATTTGGCGCTTCACCCCTCCTAATGCGGAGCGCCTCAAATAATGTACTATACTGTATCAGTACAAAATTCTATATTTTGCACAAGAGTCATCACTTTCTACTTCAGCACTCTAGAACTACTACTATCACTACTTGATTTTCTTTTGGGAGAAATGGTTGCCAAAATAACACAAAAGTGTATGAGGAAAATGAATAGTAAATATTGTGATCACAGGTGTACAACAAGATTTGAGTGTGGCTTGGAATGTGTGGCTAAATGTGCATCAAATGTGTGAGTTGCTTCATGAAGCTTTAAAGTGTGGCTGTGTAATTTTACTGAAAAATATAAAATTATACAGTTCCAGATGCCACTCATGAATTGTCAAAATCGTGAATACTATATTAGAAAATCAAAAGGGATAAGTGCGTCATTTTAGTAATGTTATCTTATTCCAACATTGATGAACTCACATTTCTCTTAAATATAATAAAAGATATATATATGCACATCCTTTTGATCCTTATACAAAATGGATTTTTACCTTAGAGTCAGGCAGAGGAATATAAAGCTTCTTAACCAAGCGTCTACGGGCGGCCTCATCTAATTCTTGAGGTCGATTTGTTGCTCCAACCACCAATAGTCTCTCATCTTTACATGTTGTGGCTCCATCCTAATATATCAAAGACGACAAAGATGAGGATTTTCAGGGGAACTGAAATGTTGAGTTGACATTATTGTATGGGTGTGAAGCATTGACTTCAGATACAAGGAGGAGGAGCATGTAAAATGGAACACTAATGATGAGCTTAAAAACATGTGGGGTATACATGGTGCACAGAATATGAAAACCAGAAATAATGAGATGTGGAAATAAATAAGTAATAAAGACAGAGCAGACTGGGTTAAGTTCATGTGTAATGAACATATTGAGAGAATGGGATGTGATAGATTGGTAAATTGTGGAAGTCTAAGTTGAATGGTAGGAGGAAGGAGAAGATCAAAGATGGGAAGGATGCACTCGAAGTGAGATGGATTGACATATAGGTAACATTAATGAGAATGAATTAGGAAAGAGTATAACATCAAGTAAATTTGGGAAAGGAATTGATATTGACTGCGATGCTGGCTTGTGTGAAGCAACAGAGGGAAACCATATTCGATGGAATAACACCCTACTGAGGGGGTGGGGTAACCCACTCGCAGTTGACTATTAAGAAAAAATAGATACGCATATTTCCAGCCAGCTTGCATCACTGCAGGAAACAATTTATATGCATAAAAAGGCACTATATTCTACTGATGCATATTCTTGGGACGATGCTATACCCAAAAAGATAAAAAATAAATAAATCACACTGAATCTTTATCATCTAATACTGAAAGTTTTGCAACTTACCAGCTGAATAAGAAATTCTGTTTTAATGCGTCTTGAACTTTCGTGCTCTGATTCAGAACGTTGAGTAAGTAAAGAATCAATCTCATCAATGAAGACTACAGCTGGCTGGTGACACCTGGAAAAATTTTCACGTTTCTTACCTTAAAACAGAAGGAGGAAAGTTTTTGTAGCCTTTTTTAAAACTTCACAAAGTTTTTGTAAGTGGCTGGTGACATCCTTATTCACAATGATATGATTGTCTGCAAACAAGGTGCTTATCATTCTTTGGAATGTCTGAGGTGTATTCCTCAGCCCAAAAGTCATTCTTAAAATTCAAAATGTCCCGTAGGTGTACTGAAAGTACTTATCTTACAGGATTTTTCAAGGGAGGTATTTGCCAATACTCACTGAGTAAGTCAAGATTACTAAATACAGCACTGTCCTTACCTAGGGACTGTAACAAATCACTAAGATCAGGCACTGAAAACCTGTCTGAAATAGTTGTTTCATTGACACATGAAAAATCAATAACTGTTTGCGATCTTCCATCTTTCTTTGGAACTAGAAAGAGAGATGAGTTCCATGGTGATAAAGAGAGTGCAATTACTTCCTGTCAAGTATTTCATACATAATTTTGTCCATTAATTCCCCTTGGTTATGGGGCAACTGATATGCTTGAATACAGATCAAGTGTGTGTCCATCATGAGTTGAATGTGGTGTGTCAGAGGTTGTCATGCCAATAGGTTCCCCTGTTAATACCAAAACTTCATTAAATTCAGCAAGTATGATAACTTTGAAGAGTTCAGCCTTGCCTTGTGGATGATCAACAACTCTAACGTGCAGGGCTATGCAATTTTTCTTGTCGTGTTCATTTTACTTCATGTCTGGACATACTACAGTCAAAGAATGTAACAGTAAAAAAACTATCAATGTAAATCATGGAGTTCACATGGCAAAAAATATTGCTTCACAATTCTTTGCATCACCAAATTTAACCTAATGATAAATTACATTTAATTCAAAGTTGGATTATATTCTCACAACACCTCAGGTCAACCAACTAACTGGAGATAAACACACCTGCTGTTTATGGTATAAGGATTCTTATTATACCACATACTGGATAATAGAGGAAAAAGAAAAATTACCTTGCTACAGCAAACATTGCTCTCACCATCTTCTCACCCTCGCCAATCCACTTAGATGTTAGAGATGAAGCGCTGATGCTGAAGAATGTTGACCCACTCTGACAAGCTATGCATTTACCTGAAATATTTTAGAAACAAAAGGTGTGTCATTGAAAACCCTGACCCTTTATTACCCAATAATAAAAAAAAGTTCTTTTATATTGAGTTCTAAAAAATGAGCATGGTGAAAAGGAAGAGATGGAAAGCCACAGATACTTTTTAAATATTTCTTTGGACTCGCGTTGTTTGTGATCTACATAAACGTCATAGATGAAAATATATCAAACCACATTGTCAAGATTGCAGACAACACAGAGATATTTGGGAAGGTAGCAAGTTAAGATGATGTCACAACAATGTAGAAAGACCTGCATTAGCTGTTCAAATGATCTTAAGAAGGCAAATACTCCTTAACATTACATAATGCAAGACCCTACACCTAGGAGAAATATCTCCGCATTGTGATAAATCATTCACCGAAGCAAATCGAGATTTGGGAATTATAAAGTGTACCTTTGAATACAGATATGAAAATGCTCCTTCAACTGTACAAATCTCAAGTACATCCCAGTCTGCATTACTGTATACAGGCATGGAAACCCTACCCCCAGAAAGATCTAACATCCCTAGAAAAGGTGCAACACAGAGCGCCTAGGATGATTCTGGAACTATGTCATCTTGATTATCCAAGTAGACTGAGGGCCTCAGGACTAACAACCCTTCAGATATGGCACAATAGAGCAGATCTCATTGAAACATTCAAAATCCTGAAAGGGCTGCAAAATGTGAACCTGGGACATTTCTTTGTAATGTCATGCACCACCAACATGAGAGACATAACTACAAGCTCACCAAGTTACATGCAGAATAAATATAAGGAAATATTTGTTTCACACAGAGGGTGGTAGAACCAAGCTGTGGAATCAAGAACAGTGCAGAATTGTACTGGGCTTCAAAATAGCCCATGACAAAATTATCAAGAACAATGGCTTCCTTCCCATGGTGTAGCCACCTCTAGTGGGTGGCCATTAGGTAAATAAGGTACGTAAGGCAAATTACCTTAGACACAGGAGGAAAAAAGTGAAAGTCAGGAATAATGTTACTGTATATGCAGACATTGTATTGTAAATACCTCGACAGGCTTACACAAGATAGGAGGATGAATCATAACAATGATATTCATACTACAACGATTAACGTAATGATCATAATGGTAACCACAATACTGTATATAGATAAATAATATATACCATGTACACTTGAGTATAGTGTGAGTGTTATGATAAAATTTTTATGCAAAAGGTTGAGGGTCAAACTAGTACTGTATATATGCGTTGTTTTTGAGGGGTCAAAAGTTATGCATTTCTGTTGGTTATTTACAGTGAATGATAGCTACCTGGTACATGCTGGCGGGAGGCTAACCTTACAAGTAAGCTCCTTTAACCTGGGCTTACCTTCCATACCCCTAGATTATTTCTTTATGTTGCTACATGAAGAGCAAAACCTCATTCAATATACAATATATACTACTTTAAATCTACAAAAACTGATACAAATGAATATTTACAGATACTTTTCCTTTCATTTGCAGCTGTTAACAATGCTGGTGGCATTGTAGCCAAGTTAGACTCATCACTGTAGCCACGTCCCCCTAGCCCTATAGTTACCAGGCTAAGCTGTGAATTAAGCTATAGTTATTTTTCAACTCTTAATTTTGGGTAGATTTAAGTATTTTTTTTTTTTACTCAGTTGAATGTAGACACAATCTTACATACAGGATGTGAAGAAAAAAATAATCATAAAGAAAAAAGCAAAGAGAATAAATATTTCTTCGTGTGTGAGAGTTAGCATACTGAGTGGGGGAGGGATATGTTTGTTGTCTCCTAAGTCCTGTGTGTAGTAAAATGATTGATAAATACAGCTAGATCCCGACTTATGACCGTCGGGACTTACGACCGCTGCAGTTGTGACCATTTTTTTTTTTCATTTTTTTTTTTCAAATGACACACGCATTTTCTATACCGAAACGTTTCCAGTTAATGTAGTCTCCATGTATAATTAGAAAATTATGGGGGCCCCATGTGCATTCAGCTGACTACATTTATTACTTTTACTATACTGTATTTCATTGCAGATTTTTAATTTAAATTTTTTTTTTTTTTTTTTATCTGTCGGACTTACGACCATTTGGACTTACGACCATTTGGACTTACGACCATTTGGACTTACGACCTGGATTTGGGTCCCTAACCCCGTCGTAAGTCGGGGTCTAGCTGTACTTCGTCCAGCAACCAAATGGCAATACAGTATTCTTTTCTTTTACTATACGTATTTTATTTATTGGCATTGTTTATTATTTATTCTTCATACTTACTGGTACAGTATATATTACTGCATTTATCTTATTCCTCACAGTTAGATATCTTATTCTTAAGACATTTTGATAATATGTACCGTAACGTGAATCATCACTAATAATTGAATTTTATAGCCTTTATTAAAGTTTATTTATACAATATTAATATTCTTTGAAATAATCATTAATTGGGGAGCATTATTAAGGCATATCACACCATTATTATGCTGTACATTTCCCACGGTGAACGTCCCTGAGATTTCTACAGTATGTACATTAACTTGCATTTTTTTTTTATCGTTTCGTCAATGCTATTTATAAGCTTTCGTTTGTTCGGCTTACAGGCCTTCAATTTTAAGTTTTAATGTTACGGTGTACAGTTAACGCCACTTTTAGGGGTGAATCTATCAAAATTTATAAATAGGAGTTGGTACCTCTGGTGGGAATTTAGTTTCAGAGTTGGTGACACTGTTCACAGTGTCAGCTGTTGTGGTGATGGTCACGGACAAGGTGTGCTACAAAATATTTCTAGGATTATTCCTAGTATTTCTAAAAAGCTAAGGTCAAATTATACAAGATGTATAAGAAGAACTTGGACTTTTTTATAAAAAAATCAGGGGACCCATTATATGACATCGGTTTATACAGGAGTATATATGATAGGTTGTAGTCATACTTGGAAAAGGGGAAAGGGACATACCAATCATAGTTTTTCCTGTTCCTGGAGGACCAAATAGCAGTAACCCTTTAGGTGGCCCTCTTAGTCCGATGAAGATGTCTGGACGCAACATTGGCCATACCACTATCTCCTGTGGAATTGAAAATAAAGTAAAACATTTCACAACATAATATTACACATAATTTTGTGTGTGTTTATTTGGGTTTATTCTTGTTTTATTAATATTAAAAATGTACCATGCATGTACCCCTGTACTGTATCCATCTTTACAATAAGTGTGCAAAGTTTCATGACAACGTATGAAAAACTATGCAAATTGATTACATAAAGTAAGAAAGAGTACTGTACCATAATTTATGATATTCACTAGGAGTAATGACAAAGTTCAATATGAAGTACCTGTACAGTACAGTGGTCCCTCGGTTAACGAACACAATTCGTTCCAGAGGGTCGTTCGTTAACCGAAAATTTTGTTAACCGAATCCATTGTTTCGATGTGAAATTGGGTAATTGGTTCCAGCTCACCGAAAAGTACATACAAAGAAAAAAAAAATTGCAGTAAAGTACACTTACTTTGAGGTGTGTATGTAGAAGGTTCCTGGTTGATGATGATGATGGGAATTAGAAGTGATTAATTTTTATCTCTTGTGCAAAATATAGACGTTTATATTCAAATTATTCGCTGTCTTGCAAGGATTCCAGCAATGCAAATTATATTCTCCTAACTTTAGTCTGAGATATTATATAACATAAAAACTGTAAGCCTAAAACCCTGGCTGGGAGATGGGGGAGGGAGGGAGGGAGGAAGGAAGGGGAGGTGATAGTGACATGTTTGACACTTGGGGCCAAAGGTCTAGTTAAGTATTTATTTGTTTATTTATGTCCTTTAGATTGAGTTTTTGTTTTTTGCTTATAAAATGTCATTAAAGTGACCGGGGAGAATATAATTTACATTGCTGGAGTTCTTACAAGATACAGTAGTGATCAATTTGAATATAAACATGCTATAGTTAGCAGTAGAAAAAATCTTAGTAATCATTTAGTACATTATTTTTAGTACATGTACAGTACAGTTTTGCCCTTAGGACAGTATGTGCATGTAAATGATTAAAAATAAATTAATAAAGTTACATATATAGAGCCAAAAATATTAGTTGAAAAACTTTATGTAGACGGAGCTTGGATGGGTAAATTTTAGAATGACCAATAATTTTAATATAAAATATGCAAAAATATTCAAGAACACAACTTTCTTGATATTTACCCCACTGGAAACAAATGTAAACATAGAACCAATTACTGTATTGGCGGACTAGCCAATCAGCTGATGCACACAACAAAGAGTGTTTCTCCTAAGGCTTTCGTTAATCGAGGTTTTGTTCGTTAATGGAACTGAAAATCCTTATGGGAGCTAATTCGTCAACCGAAATTTCGTTAATTGAACCGTTTGTTAATCAAGGGACCATTGTACATAACAAACTGGAAGAGAAAAAGTCTGTTAATCTACACCACGAGGATGACTTTGAATCTTACCTGAATGGTACTCTTGGCCAGTTCTAGTCCAGCTATATCATTCCATGTTACAGGAGACCCACTGTCCATAATCTCATTCATTATAAGTTCAACCATCTTAGGATCAGTATTCTGGAAAATCAATTCTTTATTATAGAAACAATATACAGTACAAAAAAATTAAAGAAGAAATACACGTGATAATAAAAAAATGGAGTGACAAATTGAGAGTAGACTGACACCGCTAAACAATTCAAAATACTCCTCTCACTCTACATCAAGTCACTGCTTTCAAGTGAGAGATATTGCCAGTTCTACAATGTAAACTTCATCACAGATGTGTGGTGTCACCTATATCAAGGAGTTCTCTTTCCTGATTTTTAACTGTTGATGGACTTGTATAATTACTAATCTTGTTACAGTACTTGCTTAAAGACCTTCCTTGTTGAAGCACAGTAATAAGTTTACAATGTCAATGATGTCAACATAATTGTTTAATGCTTTCACAGATGAAGTAGTAAAGGAGATGAGAGCATAATACAGTATAACAGAGAAAGGGCAAGTTTGATAAATAGTAATGTGGGAGGCTAATGGGAGATGAGCTGTTTGCATGACAATGTTCTAGTGGGTGACTTAGAGAAAAATTACAGAATGTAGAGACTTAAATACAAAAGTTATACAGTAGTTATTGTAGCCCCTGCTTGACATGGGTGTCAAACCCATGGCCCTCAGGTATGCAGCAACAACTGTCAACTACTCACACAGGCCTTTTATGGAAATAATGAAATAGAGGTACTGTCTGTGTTGGAAGAATATCATGCACATAAAAAGCAGATGAGCTCAAGTGTGTGTGTTGGGGGGGAGGCAGAACTGCAATGTGGACAAAGTGAAGTAGATTTTGAGTGAGGTGTAAATTGCAGTCAAGTTGTTTAATGAAAGAGTAGTGACCACAATGTATTCTGGCAAAGTATACTCTCATATTTATGTGGAGAGAGATTTCTGAGGTGTGGTGTTGGTGTGTTCAGTGTGCTATAGGGGTGGAACCTTTGGATAAGATAGAGGAAGTTGCTTAATTGTTGTGTTTGCATTTGTGGATGGTTATGTTAAGAGGTACAGGTGGGAAAATGTAGAACCTGTGGGAGTAGTATTAAGCTGTGATTTATTATTTTTTTCCCCTTTGGTCAGGGATGATTTAACATGACATTGCAGGGCTGAGTGGAGTGATGCACTGTGTGGCCCTGATGTTGAGGTGGTTTTATGTGGGGAAAATTCTTGATTCCAAATGTAAGTTGCCAATAATGGTATCAAGAGCAGCACAGCCACATTGTCAGCTTGTATTCCAAAAGTTTAGTATTCAGTGAGTTATATGCACATTGCCCCATATGGGCCATCAGGCTCAAGGGGCCCACTTTCGCTTTTACAACAGATCCTTATGAATGGAATTTCATCATACTGTACAACGAAATGGAGATAAGCATGTTTCGATCTGCTCTTATGTGCAGTGCTTTTGACTGAAGACCTATTGTACAGGTTACCATGGTACCAATTCTCAAACACTACTATGTAACTGAAAGATAAAATATCTAGAAATCATAACATTCATCCATGAATTTGCGGTGATACATTCAAATAAAAATGATGGTGAACCTACTTACTTTTAGTCTTTCATCAGTCATAAGGTCATCATAGGGGTTGTCTTCAGCTATACCACGAGGCAGGCATTTTCTGATGAGTGCTTCACTTCCCAAATTACTAAAACAATAAAATGATTAGTAGTTGATAACAGTCATCAGAAATTAATATCTTTTTCATATGTGGATTTATCACTGTGTCTCAAGCTGGTCTTTACTAAACACTTTACTTGTTATATATTACTTCATACAATTCTATGGGGCCCAGTAACCCACTTCTCTTTTTAAGAATATCAGGCATTTCTTGGGAGGACAATTTTAGTGCTCTGGTTACCACTGGACTAAGCATTTGTTTAACAGCTTATAGATGCTATATTAAGTGACAGATGAACACCACCATTGTAGATTGATAAATAAAAGTCACCCACATATTTCCCAATCATGAAAGGCAATGCATCAGGATCCAAGTCAAGCATGATTGGTTACTGTACACAATTAGTTTTTTAATTCTTCAATCATGGTCTTGCTTAATGCAGGATGCCCAGACACAAAAACAAATACATACACATATTTTCGCTTGATTCATTGTCATTCTTACATTATTATTGATCTAAAGGATGTGTTCTGCAATTGATCTCCCTTTCAACAACAAGGCTGAAAACCATCATTTACACCTCTCTTCACACAATCCAGCATCAACCATCAGCAGCATGTCATTCTGTCATTCCCTAAAAATCTTTCAATGACTGACCACAATGCAAGTGCTGTGTCCACTTGGCTGTCATGCTTCATAGCTATAGAGTAATTACACCTAACAAATTCGATGTAACTTTGGATTCAAAGGGTTGCCACTACATCACCCAAGATATTAACTGACACAAGGAAATCTAATCCCCCTCCCCCCCCCCCCAGCTAAATTTGTGGTGATACACTGTTTTTAATTGTTTAAATAATACAGGGATATTTTGTCTGTGAAGAAAAGAATCATAGTTTGAGAATGAACTTTACAAAATATATTAATAAACATGAGGGACTTACTCCTCCTCATCCTCTCTTCTCACAGGTGGAACAAACTTGGTATTGACAGCTCTCCTGATGCCCAGTGATCGCTTGCCTGTCCCGTAGGATGCCCCACACACTCCTTTACCACCATACTTCTTTTGTAGGTCTAGTTGCTGTAAACATATATTTGTTCTAACTAAAAACACAAAAAAATAATAAAAAATAATTACCCTTCCCAGGGTAAATTTGCTCCACTTATACAGAAACCTCTTATTTACATTGTTCCTTACTCTTTCAAGCCCATTCCTGCTTAATGGAGGGAGTATGGAATTGAAGGCATGCACACACATATTCTGACTTTATCTGTGATCTAACATACAGTATTTATTACTGCTGTAATAAATACTGTATGTTCTGCTATGGTACTCCTCTTCCACAACAAGACCCTCAAATATCCATTGATTTTAATCAAGCCAACATGAACCATTAATGGCATGTCCTTCCCCAAGAATCACTCAATGACATACTCTCCCCTCATTCTTACACACTGCTGCTTCCTGAATATCTATCCCCTCACTTCTAGTGCATCCCATTCTTTCATTTACGTCTTGCCCTCTCCCTCCTACCATCCACTTTTGACCTATACTTACTCCTTCTTGCCATCCACTTCTGACATACCCACTCCTTCCTACCATCCACCTCTTGACATACCCACTCCTTCCTACCATCCACCTCTGACCTATACCCACTCCTTCGTGCCATCCGCTTCTGACTCTCCTTCCTGCCAATCTTTCACTTTCCATTTTCTCACTATGTTCAATTAAGGAGACTCCTCCACTCTCTGCCTCAAACATTTTTCATTTCTTCACTTCCTTATTTCTAAATTTCTTATTCTTTCCATCCCCATCCCACTCAGTACCTCCCTCATCCCATCAGTCCACCTTTTTGGGGCACACATATATTTGATGTATGCCATGAAAATTATATATAAAATAAACAATGCATAAAAATTAAGTATTGCATACTATAATACTGTATAGCTTAAATTATTCAACCATCAACACATACTATACACACTCACACACTAATATTTGTAAACACTTGTCAAAAGAAGCACTAAACTCATATAAGCATTGACATACCAGCTGATGAGAAGCTTTTCTGAAACAAGAGTCAGCTGGAGTACTCTCATTTTGACCTGGCCCATCCTCAAAAAACTCTTCAGTACTTTTCTTCCATGAGTAAGTCCCAGTACCTGTTGTGCATAACTAAGTTGCTTACCATATTACTTAACTGAAACATAGTTAAATAAACATTCATAAAATAGCATATAAATTAAAAAAAATTCTCAATTCGAGACCAAAATTTAATTTGGAAAACTGAAAGTAATAACTTAAGCTGCTTGAATGAGTTAAAAAAAAAGTTGCTTTTGTAGACACAGTTCAGTCAGAAGTTTTCAAATATCACTTGAATGTAATCTGAAAGTTCCAAATCAACAATTAAATGAACAGGCAAGTGACATTTAGCCTTCTTTAATAAAAAAAAAAAAAAAATCTGAGAAGGGTCACTGGCCAAAGAACACTTAGGCATTAATCACTAGTCTAACCCTTGCATTCTTGAGGAGGAGGAGGAAGCAGCTTATATTAGTCACAGGTTGGGTATGCCTACATCTATGATTAGAACAGTTCTGAAGAATAGGGACAGCACTGGAGCTTCTGTGTGCAGATATTCCACTTTTTCATAAGTTTCAACCAAAAGTACCTCGCTGTCTTATGTTGATCCAACTGAATGGAATGGTAAGTGCAAGTATAGGTACCATAAATTATTTTATTATGTCATTGTTATTATTATTATTTTTTTACAAATTGGTTTTAAAAAGTGTCAGGTGCATGCAATCATTATTTGAAGCCCACATTTATTGCTTATAGGTGAGCAATGGTGCTGCCTGGCCCAAATCCCCTTAATTAGTGCAGTTTTGATTAGTATTCATTTTCAGGAATGAATGCTTGGTGTTCATCAAGGTACAGTATTATTGTACTTATTTATTGTGGAGCCTTCCCCTAACACTCCAGTCATGGGAACTACCATTAAAATAATCATAATACTGTACACTACAATTTTCTAATTACCTTTTCCTCTTCCCCTCCAGCTCCTGGAAGGCTGTTCATATGGTGACTCTCTAGCCTTGTCCAATGGTTGATCAAAACCACTTCCTCTTCCAGAGTAATTGGATGCTCCATATGGGGTACCATGAAGAGAACCCTGCGGCATCCTACTGGACATGTTCTTTTCTACTACAGATACTTCACTCCCAACATATCCTCTCTCAATTACCTCAGCTTTGTTCCCTCTGTTCCAAGGATAAGAACCTCCTTTTCCATGAATTCTTCTTTCTCTTCCAATAAGTGAAGAGTTCTCATTGTACATTAAGTCTATTCCCCCAGTAAAGGAAGCTGAAATGACAAAAATATTTCATATATCCATAACAGAGACAAACAAAAGAGAAATCTTTCCCAAATTAATATTATATAAAATATTTAAGTAGCCTACAACCAAATTGTCTGAAAATCACTAAGTAAATCACCCTTAGTGGATGTTGTGTGTCACTGAGTTAATACTATGGGATACTTACCATTTACATTCATATTTGCGACATTATCAGGTGTATCTGGTCCTCTCTGTAAGGATAAAATTATTCTAAATTAATTATGTCTGAAACTTTGTCAATGTGGCTAGTAACCACAAAAAAATGTCTCACAAATTTATATTCAAATAGTAGAAATACATATCTTTCTGTATCCATAAGACTGTCTTCTACTCTTCAACCAGGTACCTAGTCTCATTTCCATTATATCTTTATAAAACTATTCACTGTCATAAGCACTGTATGAATGACATGGCTAATCCTTAAAGTGAACACCTGGGATACTTATACAGAGGATCCTCGTTATCCGAGTCATCGATGTTCATGATTTCACATGTATGAGGCCAAATTATTGATGATCTCTATGAAAAAAGTCCCCGCACTTACGAGAAATAATATCCGTGGAGCATGAAGTCTCAACATATCCCTGCTGCACACTTGCCCTCAGTCATTCGCCACATTGTAAACAATGCCTAACCTCCTGTGCTTTTATATTGTTTTTCATGTGCATTCTTGAAAAATCATTGCTATTGTTTAAGCCATGAATTCAATGCATAGTGCTAGTGTTAAATTAAGTGTTGTCCTTAGAAGAAAGTATAGCAGCTATGGTTTGCACATGAAATTAGATATTATTCGTCAGAAGAAAAGTGGTGAGCATGTGACAGACATCTTACATGATCTTCAGATTCCCAAGTATAAATGATAAAAGGTATAAAATTATCCTTTTGAGTGTCATTTAAAATCTTATGGCCAAAAATTCCCCAATTTAAATGAAAATTTTCCAATTCCTATTAGCTTTGGATAATGAGGACCCCTGTATTACAGGGTAAGACACCAATCTTATAGCACGACTCATATGCTTACAAAATTTCTCACAGACATACCTGTACATAAATATTTATTCTAATCTACAACTTCTGTCTCTTCTACATACTGTACTGCACTAGTAATCCTCTACTTTAATTTATAAAGTGTTTGCACATCTATTATCTACAATTTATGGCCCACACTACTTTTGGATTCAGCCCTTATTTATTAATTCCAAATCTCTCTCCATTTTTTCCTCAAACAACATTCTCCTTATCCCAGCAATGAAACTGTCAGATAAGTTTCGTTATCAGAGTTATGAACACTGACTTCATACCTGGCCTATGCTGCCAACTACTATACAGCCACTGTCCAAGTCTTCAGCCATCATCAAACCAAACATTACCTCTCTATCCTCCTTTTTGTTCACCTCCTGCCTCTTAGACTGAGTTACTTCCATGCTACTGTATTCATTATTGCTTGGTTTTATTTGTGGTGGCTTCCTTGCCTCTTGATTGTTAAAGAGGTGTGCCAATTTCTTGTGTTCCTCCCTGAAAGTGTTTGACATGGAAGGAAGGGGCTTCAGATATTTTTCAATAATATCACTAGCTTGCAGGTTACATTTCCAATTCTTGCTCTCTGAAAAACACAAAAATATCAATACCTGTACTGTGTCTATTTACCTTAAGCTACTCTATACTGTATACTCATACTTATGAACCCCTTCTTGACATCTATCATCTCCCAATTACAATTATTTTCCAAAAATCTTACATATAAATATGAACATAAGCTAGTCTCTAGTCTCTTCTTCTCCCCCCATATCATCCAACAACTCTTCAGCCTTCAACTACAGCACAAATGTTTCCACCCAATTAATCCAAAACCATATTAACTTTTATTTACTAAAGGTGATCTTTTTCATATGTGAAAATTTTGTAGCAACTGTTCAATAAGTACAGATGATTCATCAATTACCGTTGACCTTGATCTTAGTCTAATGATAACCAAAAAGCTCCTTGCCTATACTAGGAGTCTAACTGAAAATATTCCTAATGATAAGATGAAAACTGTGGACACTAGAGAAAAAATAATATAATCATTAACCCTTGAACTTGTCTAATGCTGACTAAAAATAGTTTATATCTATTCTAAGCCCAGGCTGACCAGATTGGAAAATTTGGTAATGATTGGGTCATAAATGTAACTTTTGATGACCTTTCAACTTGACCTCAAGTGGTCAGGAAGGCAAAGTCATAATTAATAGCTTTGTTGGAAAAAGGTGGTTATGTTCATCTGTAAAAAATTAATTGTCAATTGTCAATAATTGTGGATGCACCTTCATTGATGAAGTCTGACCTTGATCTTTGTCTAATTTTTACCAAAACTGTGCCATAACTTTTCCTTGTCCAAAGGCAAAGCTAACACTAAAATCCATACAAAACAAAGATAAATGGCCACTACAGACCTTAACTGACCATTGTTATCTTAACCTTTGACCTGATGGCTAACAAACTCTACATAATTCTTCAATTCTCTATAAAGTTATGTAAATACTGAAATCATTATTCAGACACGGTAGTGTTCTGTACATAAGCAGATGGACAGACTGCATGACGACTAATGTGTCCTGGATCACTGGACATGGCAGACTCCACCAGGTAATGTTCTGTATGAGTGAACCTCACAATTCCCTTAAAGAATTACCCTTAAGCCAAAAAATACAAATGAGATGTTGAAAAAAAAAAATATATAGAAAGATAATTACCATTTTTACTACAGGTATTACGAAAAAGGGTCAGGATGGGATCAGCATAGTTATTAAGTCCCCCTTCTCTTTCTGTCTTATCCATGAGCTTCCCATAATCCTGTAGCAGTTGTTGTGTCTTACTTGATACCACAGCATCATCAACTTCACTGAAATTTAGAATATGCTAAGAAATAGTCTAAGATTGTTGGGTTAGATTAGGTTAGTTTGATTACTGTCACAATTCAAAAATGATGGATCAATCGTGAAATCCCAATTAAAAAATGAACCTGGATCAGGCATCTTATGTATTGTCACTTTAGCTTACAAACTGAAAACCCAGGAACCCTTGACAACAGTGGTTAGAATTACAATGAATTATCTTCATACATGAGCTGTACTACATTTAATTACAAAGTATCTAAATGGTATTTTTTCCTCATTTATAAAACTATTGGTACACTTGATTCACAGATCTAATTTTCAAATAAAACCAACATGAAGGGATTCAGGAAAAGATTACTTCTGTAACTAAATTTAATAATGAAACAACAAGTAGCAAATGTTGTCTGCACCTTTGGTAGCTACATTAGTTTGTATTTCTCATTTCCCCACCATCAGCTTACTAGCCGTTTGAGCGGTTGGTTTATCCAATTTGTTAGTACAGGAGGAAACCAGAGTCCAGGAAATCTGTGATGTTTGGTTGTGTCACACTGGTTAATACACTTCTCACAGGTGTATTGGCGAGAGATATGCACGGTACCGCTGTACCACCAACACCCCTTCTTCTTGAACTATGTCTGATTTGAATAGGAACAAACTACAAGGTGATACATACTTTGGGGTGACAGGATTCAGTACAGTAGTTCATTCCTACTTAAAGTCACTTATCAAAATTCTCCCATCAGAATTAAATTCTACTCATTAAAACAAATGGCTTGTGAAAGCCCACAGAAAACTTTAAGCCAAAGTTATCACTACATGTCATGTAAAACTAATATAAGGATATGCTGTACAGTAATTCTTCACACAGAGGGTGGTACACCAATGAAACTGTGAAATGTAGAGCATTTGGGCCACGGACATCTGGGCCATGGGTCACGATCCTCGGACGTTTGGGCCATGGGTCAAAGTAATATAAATGGTGGACTTTATGGAATTGCACCAAATTTTCAGGAGACGTTGTTTGGATGATACTGAGCAATAAAATCAAAATGACAACATTGTAGTATTTTTTTTTTACTTTTAGCCTATCCTTCAATCATAAGTTACTTGTTAGTAGCCAGGGCATGAAAGAAGAGGGAAATAGAGGGGTAAAAATATTGTGAATGCTGAACATATGACAGTAATTTCAAGTCTCTATGTGCATTGTAGGTGAAGAAATAAATTATCTACCATAATTTTGGCACTGTTGAATCTCTCGTGGCGACCATGTTTTGGTTAAAATTGTCTGCTGTACGGAAGTGTCCGCAGTCTTTGTTTACATGTCAAGAAATGAATTGAACTGAAACTGTTTGAATTGAATTGAATTGAATTGAATTGAATTGAATTAGAACAGTTTATTTAGCCAGAAAAAAACAGAGATACAGAGTGGATAATAATAACAATATTAACATGGTTGAGCCAGTTGAGAACCTGAGTTCTCCTGTAGGCACCTGATATATACTATACATTTATCTCAAGGAAGTATTATGTAACATTTAGTATCATCTGGAATAGTACAATAGCATGGTGGTAATAAGAACATCTCATAATGTTACCACGGTTATCACTTCAATATTAATTTATCTTTTTTTTTTTTCTTTTTTATATTATAAGTATGAACAGGTGCTCCTCTACTTACTAACGAGTTATGTTCCTTTTACTCTTGTAGATACCAAACATATTATATAAAATGTAAAGATTATGGATATTTAGTACAGCTATACCCTTTAATACAGCCTTAAAACCTGGCTCACTCTTCTCCTCTTAGGTAATGTTTGTTCTATCCGGAATTTTCTTCAAAATAATCCAGTCTCATCCACATTAAACACCTGTTCTGGCAGGTAACCCCCCTCAATGATGATGTTTGTATCTCTGAAAGTTTGTAAGTTGAACGTTCTTAAGTAGAGGAGCATCTGTATATATATTACAGTGGAATTGAAAAACATCTACAACATGGGTTGCACAGTATTAAGGTTGAACAAGAGGACAGAGCTGTCAGGATTATGTCTAGTTGGCAAATATATTTATTGCAATGGTAATTTCTTATCTACAGTCAGTCCTCGACTCACGATAGGGTTAGGGACCGATGACCAGGTCGTAAGTCGCATTGGTCGTAAGTCGAAAATGTGAAAATAATACATAGAAAATCTAAAATGGGTGTCTCTTTTTCTTCTCAGCACCACGAGAACTCTCATTTTTACGCTTGCCAGGTATTTTAAAGGGAATTACAAACAAAAATTTTGTCAGTACACAGCGCGATCACTAACATAGGGACTCTAAAATACGTAATTTGAAAAATATTTTATACGACTGCGGCGGTCGTATGTCCGGGTGGTCGTAAGTCGAGTAGGTCGTAAGTCGAAGAGTACCTGTATTTACATGATAATTTCCAATAAAACGGTTTTGATGGTACAATAGAAGCAGGTATTGTAAATATAGTAGGTATTACAAGAAATATTAATACTTAGACAACACATATTTTTTAAGAGATAATTTAAAGGAAGGGAGCGTATTCTTTGCTCGGATGGGTGGGGGTAAGTTGTTCCACACCTTCACACCGTAATATTTTATGGAGATCTGGGAGTGAGAGGAGCGCATGGGGGGTGGTCTTAGTAGCTCTGGGTGCCTTAAGTTGTATCTCTGATTATTCCGGAACTGGAAATAATTATTGTCAAGCAAGTGATTGACCATCATATTGGGCATATTTAGTATGATTTATATTAGATTCAATTTGTTCATTTTTTCTAGAGATGTTGTTTGCATAACAGTAAGAAAATGGAAACCACAATACACAGGTAAGGAGGTTAGGTTAGGTCACGTTCAAATAGGTTCTGTGCATTATCATTTCGATTTTGGTGACTCCAGAAAGTCCTTCTGGTGCTAACGGTCTCCTCCACCATTACCTAAATAACAACATAATAACCAAACCAAACCAAACCTAACCTGACCTGAAGGTTCCCTGGGGTGTTAAAGGGATTAGGCTAATATACGACTCGTGACCGTTAGCGGTTCAGTAATTATGGGGGGGGGGTGTTTTTAGACACAGTTTTGTACACTGATTACTTTCACTTCTATTCCTTTTCTTGTGTAAATGCTTAGTTTTCTAGACACAGGCAAGTTAAGCTATAGGTTAGGTTAGAACATGATTTCTACCATTTTTTTTCTCAGTGAAAACTGGGTATTTTTAAACCGATTTTCAATGAAAAGCGGCGGCTGGTCACGGTTAGAATAATTACCAGGGATTATAATTTAGTCTAGAAATTTTTTGGTCTATGGCCTAAATGTCCATCCTACATTCAGCTCGTGACCCATGACCCAAACGTTCGGGGTCGTGGCCCATGACCCAAACATTCGGGGTCGTGGCCCATGACCCAAACATTCGGGGTCGTGGCCCATGACCCAAACGTTAGGGGTCGTGGCCCATGACCCAAACGTCCGTCCACCGAGACACTGTACTAGCTCAAGCTGTTGAAGTGAGACAATGCCTTGAAAATAGCCTTTGACACAACTAACGGGAACAATGGAAGGACCCAGCATAGGCATGGCCACCTATAATTGGGTGGTGACCATTAAGGTGGTGACCATTAAGGTATGTAAGGTAAGGTAATTAACGATGGGTTAATGAGGTCCAGCCACCAACTGTATGAGGCTCGGCTATTACCTTAAAGTATTTTTCAAGACGTGCAACTGCGCTAAGTTGAATCTAATAGCATCTGCTTTTTCTGAAGTGCTGCCTGTTTCACTTTCAAAGTTCTTTTTTTGCCACAGATGGAGGAAAGTGTGATGGTCATTAGCGCCCTCCATGTTTATTTACATTTGGTTAATGGCGCCTCCCACCAGGGGATACAACACTCAACTTGTTTATCATTGATATTGCTTCACCATGTGCTATACAGTACATCATCAACGAATCATTGTTTTATGGTAATAAAATATAAGTACTAGTAAGTGCTGTATTATTATATATTCGAAGCTACCTTTTATAGTTGTCCAGTTGCTACGAACCCCATCTAACAAATGCTATATTTATTACATTTATTATAAATAATTAAGTAAGATAGACAATTTTTTATTTAAGCCAGTAAAACGTCAATAAACACAATATACATTATTGTGACTGATTCAATTTAGGCAGGTGTCTTACAGCGGGCAATTTGTTTACAACTGGTGGACAAGGTGAAGGTGACAGCCTTCACATCATGCGCCTAGGTATGGGTTAAAGAAATGAATGACACTAGCATTAGAGCACCGCAGAGTGATGGGAAGGAAACTGGTATGTACAAGGTATTCTAGATGCTACAAAATATCTACGTAATGTATTTAGAAAGACATCAATTTTTTTAACAAATTCCTTCCAAAAGACCCCAGAACTCCCTTATCTTTTGAAGCAACTTTGATTTTGTCTCATGTTTATATACGTTTGCATATAATATAGGTGATGTTACCATAGATAAGTTATTGGTGTGTAACCTAACAGGTTGCAGAGATAAGTAGACTTCGGAGCTACAAGAAAATAAAATCTAATTATTATGAGGGGGTATTGTTATCATGCTATTCCTAAACATATTAATACGAAAAACAAAATAGATTTGATTATGTGAAGTAAGAAGCTTAAACCATTTGCATTGGGTGAATGCACTACAACACAAGTGGGTTTGCTTCTTTATTTTCATTACATATATAATAGGTGGTTTTTTGCCAATGATTAAAGTCACCACACATACCCGCATCGCCTTTGGTTGGCCACAGGCACTCGGTGCCTAACCGGTGCCCGACCGATGTTTGACCTGGCGAGAGGAGTAAAGGAACAGTATGTACTGTACTGTGAAAAATTTATGATTCACGAGATAGCTTCTGTTGTTGAGGTTAAGGATGGCACTGAACGGTAATTAAATTCCTTAGCAAGAAAGCTATGTTACCCGGATATGAATTGGACAGAGCAATATATCCATCTCAGACACAACTCAATCGACTGCCCATACCTGGAGGTGGTGGGCGCCCGCCCACTAGAGGTCACAGCTCAAGGTTGAAGAAACCACAAGTCCAGAAAATTGTGCGGGCAAAGTTTTTTGGAGTGAGAATTGTAAACTCCTGGAATAATCTGCCAGAGTGCTGTGACAGCACCAAGTGTGAGCTCTTTCAAAACCAGACTTAACCAACACTGGCGCAGGTACAGATATATACTGGAGCCAGTACATGCCCACTACTTGCCAACAGTGCTTAACAGAGACTTAACCGACTGCCTAAGCGGCTAACGAGCCGATCAGTGGCGAAGACGATAACAGTAAAAAGTAAATATTGTACCAGTGTGTACAGTAGGTATAGTGCATACAGGGATAACAGAAGTCAAGGTACACGGGAGTATTTCACATAGCAGGTTTTTAACCTTCTGCTCAGTACATGTAATATGATCGTTATATACTGTAGATGGCTTGTGAACGTCTTGTACGTACAGTATATCCAAATTCGGGATGGTTCGACTTTTGCGTCATAGTCCTGCCAAAATCTTCTACTGAAAGCGATAATTTTTTTTTTGCTAACCCATTTTCATTTATCCCCATACCTTTAACTCCGTTATTTTGCAATTTACCCTGTTGAACTAAATATATGATTCTGAAAATAAAATTTGTCGTATCACTGCCACTCATGGAATTACCACTGATATTTTTTTTGTCTAGTTAATTATTTCTAGCACTTGTCCGTTTACCAGTTGTTCGAGCAGTTGTTTTGTTCTTTGTTACGGCTTCTAGTGCCCAGCGTTAGTACTGGCATACACCATGAGATTGAATACAGGGAGAAACCGGACTACTTGAAGAAAAACCTGCGATTTTTGGTAGGGTCACAGCCAGGGGATCGAACCCGTGACGCAAGTGTGAGAGGTAAGGGAGCTGCTAGGTACAGTACGTCTCTCTTTCCTAAGGCTATAAAACACACCATTACTCCTAAAATATTGATAAACTTTGTTCGAATTATCACTGACAGACGCTGTGATGGGTACTGCTCCTATATCACTCGCCGGAGATGATGAGGAGCATTTATAATAATACTAATAATAACAGTTATCACTATCGGGATACAGAAATGCCTACACATTAACTACTATAATTTCTTTGCTGAAAATGACGCTTGAATTATTGAACAGCGACTGAATGTGTCACAAACCGCCGAGTGGACACCAGCAGCGGCAGGCTTGGGACCGTGTACGTGTCTGTATTTGCCTGTTTGGTGTTTTACCTTTTTTGTGTGTCGACGTTCAACCTGGGTAAACTTTGAGTCGAATTCTGTCTAGTGTTATTTGCTCAACAATAAGGAATATGAGGTAAAATTATTACAAATTGGAGAGCTTTGCTGTCATTATTACGGCTTACTGTATATCGTTTATTATCCACATAGTGTAGTTGCTAACTTTTATTCACTTACAGTTTTTATTATTCTGTCCTGCCTAAATTTATAACAGTTTTCCTCATGTGTGGCAGTGGGAGCCGACACATGGCAGCTGCTGGTGGTGGTAGCTGTGCTGTCGACGCTTTTGGGGGTAATGTTGTTGATGGGTGGAGTGTGGGTGTGTGTGGTGTGCCGCCGGCGTGGTAGCTGCACCCACTTATCAAGAATAAACTGGCCAAGACACGGGTGGGGTGAGAATAATGAAGAAGAAGGGCGTTTTCCTCCAGCCCAGAGGGGGAAGGTGGAGCTGGATAGCCTGCCAAAGAGAGCCATCACACCCCTTGACCAGCACCCGCCGCCACTCAATGCCCATATCAACAATTCCGGTGAGTCTTACTTGTGTGTGAGAGACCCAGGTTGCCTTGGAAGAGCAGAGGCAATGTAGGAAATTCAAAATTACATGGAACAAGAAGTACTTGTGAGAGTTTCAGATTGACGTAGAGCAAGAGACTCAGATTTACGAGCAGGAAGAGAGCTACCGAGTAGTGTGTGTGTGTGTGTGTGATTCAAGTTGACGCACAAGTTGACGTCGATGAAACTGTCAGACTTAGGTTGACGTGGAAAGACTGAGAAATCCAAGTTGAGGAAGAGATCTGCGGGGGATTCAGGTTCAGCATGGAAGGAGTGAGACAGTGTGTGGGTAATCTGCTTGTAGGAATACATGGAGACGTTTTAACGTCAGATTCTTTAATTGTGTGATCAGGCGTTTACGGAGAGAAAGAAGAAAATCACGTGGAAGCATTTGGTGTTATACGCTTCACTCAGCTCAGCGGACCTTAATACAGTACTGTATATGTGTTTTTGGTATGTAATCATATCTTAAGGGTGCTGTGGCCGAGTGGACACACTGCTCGTTTCCTGTCCTAACACTCGCTGGTTAGACCCTAGGGCAGTCCTAGTTCACCCAGCTGTAAATAGGTACAGTACCAGACAAGTTTAGTATTCAGTGTGCTGTATCTGCACTGCCCCTAATGAGCGCCAGGCCTTTGGGACTCACTCACTTTTTTAATCATATTTAAAAAACACCAACTTTCATTCATTCCTCATTGTTCTTTACTACTTCGAGATTCTTTCTTCACCGGTGGTGTAGCAACAAAATTCGAACATTGATTTTTATCCCTAATAATGACGATAGGCAAACCTAACCCAACTTAGGATGGGTTTGATATGTTTGTGTCACCTGCCTGAAGTTCTCTGAAAGATCCTTGTATAAAAGACGGGAACGCTTCGTACATTCAAATAAATCGAATTTTGTTGCTTCACCACCAGTTATGTGACTAACGAGGTAATATTTTTTGTTTTTCTTTGAAGTCGTAAGGTAAGTAGTTCAGCCGCGTATTGTCTTCACTACTACCGTTCGGATCACTTCTTGCACGATAGAATAACGCCACTGACTTCTCTTTTCATTCGGCAGGTATTTCAAGAGGTTTAGGATTAGGTGCGTCCTGTCTACCAGAACAACTACCAGCCCTGCCAGCACCACGGAGTTGGACGCCAAGTCCTCCATTTGACCCTCACCATAAGCAGACTCCTCCAAAGAGCTACAATCAAGCTTCCACAAATATTCTAAACTGTGATAATGACATAGCTCGGCCAGTTACGTGTTCAAGAAGCCGCGAGAGAGGGCGGAAGGACGGTGAAAAATCCCTGTATGGCAGTAGGGCGTGCACCTCTCCTTACAAGCCCCGTTACAACACTCCAACCAGCGACCATTCCCTTCCCCCCAGTACCCACACCAACTCCTCCAGTTATATCACACTGGGGTTTGCTCAAAAGTCTAAAAAACGTAGGGGGGAAGCATTTGAAGCCTGGAACACGCCCAGTAATGCCTGTTATAATAAGCGCTATAAACGTCGAATACGCAAGGCAACTGGGAGACGTTCAAGACGACAAAGAGAACTGGATGCCATAGAACGTAATCAAAATGGAAGGAAATGGTGTGACAGTCATGGAAGAAACCACCAAGAGCCCTCAGAAAACACTGTTAATATGTTGCGAGGAGACGGCAATGTGGAACTCCCAGCCGCCTGTTCCAGCTGCTGTGGCACCCCACCCTGTTATCACCAACTGCCTCATCCTCATGTCTCCATACCCGAAAGTCGCCATGTAGAACCTTTCAGAACTGGCTGTTTCTATGATCTCACTTCGAATCCCATGAAAAGATCCAAGATGAGCACACTGGTGGAAGGATGGAAACAGGGAAAGCAGTCTAAGGGGAGGGGGAATGAGAGGGTTGTAGAACCCTCCACCCCTCACCTGCCACCCCCTAACCCGCCATCCCCCACCACAAAGAGAACAAGTCCTCCCCGAAGGTTCATGGAGACACAACAGGAGCGACACACCATCCCTATCGTATTAACCTATCCTTCACCCGAACCAAAGCCCCAGTGGATGCAGCGC